ACAGTTATAGTTAGCTCTAAAAGAAAACCATAAGATATCTGTAAATACACTCCTTGTATTTTGTAGGAATAAACTAAACTTGAGAATAATTTCAAGGTGGCATACTAGGAATGAGATCACTTGGAAACAGTACTCCACACTGACCAAAGAAAAACAGCAGGTGGTTAGCCTGGAATCTAAGAAGTCAGTCAGCTCACTACATGTGTTTATGAGGCCTTGGGCTGCTGAGGGAGGCAGATCCTAAGTCTGATAAACAGAAGCTTTGCATTTTCTTAGAAAACCACGTTCTCGCATGACACGGGTACACTTACCTACATGCAGGCAATTACACGCATACACACAAAATTTAAAAACCCCAAAAAACATGTTCTATTCAGATATGCTCCTTTTTTGCAATTTTTGTGGTAAGGATATTCTGTAAGAGTATTTCATCCCAGCACATCACCTGCATGTGTTGATTAGTCCCCTCCACTTGTTCTCTGAGGTCTCTTCAAACTACCCCTACCACCTCATGTGGCTCCCCTATTCATAATCAGGGAGAAAAATCAAAATTCTAAGTAATGGAAATGTACAGCCTTCCTTGCAAATAGTGATTCTAGTTTCTACAGACAACTCCTAAAATGCCATGAATTGACTCTATTGTGGGTGCTCTGACAAGCCCTGAATTCCAGAAGCTAAAGAGACAAAGGGTCCAGGGCCAAGGCTGAGATGAGTTGAGCCAAGTCATGTTGTCTGTGGGGCCTGCTTAAAGTGGATTTTCTAGGGGACATGACATCTTTATCTCAACTCTTAACCAGGGCACAAACATATTTACCTTATGATTCCTTGTTATTCGATATTACACTGCTCATTTTCATTATTATTTTGTTTAATCTTAACAGTTAAATAATATTTTTATTTGTCCCACTTCTACAAATGAAAACACCACCATCAAATAACTGAGTCTTGGGGAGGTTAAATACTCTCCCCAACATCACACAGCTAACATTAAAAGATTTATCCCGGACTACCTGACTCCAAAAATGTGGCTCTTCCATCGTAATAAATTTCTTTCATTCATTGCTGGAAAGCTCTACTAAAGATTCCTCCATTATAGAAAAATATATCTACTCTTTGGTGCTAGTTATTTATTTGCACCTCTTATTGCAGTCCAGTCTCCACTTGCGGTTGTTTGGACCATACACTGCTTTAGTTTTCCTTGTGCACAGGCAAGAACAGCTTGGGAAAAGAAACAAATGTCCTTGGCATCTTCTTAAACTCCCAACAGTATCTGGTATAGTAGCTTGCAAATGCAAAGTATCCAGTCTTGGTCTCTTGGGTTTTGGTTTGTGTGTTCTTGGCTAGTTGTCTGATTTTTTGAGATGGGGTCTCATATAATCCATAAGGAACGCAATCCATAACTCCCTATATAGCTGAAGATGACTCTGAACTCCTGATCTTCCTGTTTCCACCTTCCAAGTCCTGGGATTACAGGCATGTGCCAGGCCTCAACCTCAGTTTTTTGTTTTGCTTTGTTTTTGTTTTGTTTTTTAGAGATAGGGTCTTCCTGTAGCTCCGGCTGTCCTGGAACTCATAGAGATCCGCCTAATTATCTGCCTCCCTTGTGCTGGGATTAAAGGTGTGCACCACGCCCAGCTTCAACTTGAGTTTTATGAACAAAACGAGAGCTATACTTTATGGAAATTCAGCTATTTAAACCAAGAGCAAGAAATCCTTTGTATGAGTAGAAGAAGGAGCCTTAATGATAAGGTCTGGGGACAGAGAATCCGACACGAGACAGAACATGATGACAGGCAGCATGCTCTCGGAGCTGCCTCTGAGGTGGGCACAAGGGTTCACTCTCATTTCCCAAAGGGTCCACTCCCGTTTCCAATTCCTTGGAGCTTTCTTATCTTAGAAAACGCAAAGGAGTAGTGAAATGACAGGCTTAGCATGTTTTTTGATTGCTGAACTGAAATTAATAAAATATTTCTAGAGGAAGAATGAAGGCAATGAAGAATATGGTGATGAACAAGCAACGCACGATTCAGTGTTACATTTATAGAGAATCTTTGGGATATCAGTTGATTTTGTTAATGGTACAATAGGAAAATAAAGCCAAAGAAGAAAGGTGACTTGCTTTTTAAGGTCAAGATGCCTCAGCAAAGCTTTCTCCAAAATGACAAAAAGAATTTCGCTTCGATTTACAAAGGAATCTTGCGTTCTCAAATCTCTCTTTAAAAATATGTCTTTACATAACTCAATGTCACTGTCACACCTACCAAGATCAATATCATTCCATCCAATATGCGGTTTATTAGCAAATTTCTTTCCCTGTAGAAGGACTTTTTAGAGTTGGTCTGTTAAATCAGGATCCAAACAGGGATAATGCACACTTATGTCTCTTTAAGTTTCCTATAGCCTAGGGCAGTCTGGCTTCCTTTATACCTTCACAGGGTTGATTTATTACAGAAACTAGGTTAGCTCCTTTATAAAAATGCCCCACATTCTGACTCTGTCTATTTACTTCGTTGTGTTATAATTTAACTGGTTCTTTCATCCTCTGTATTTTTGGCAAATGGAAGGAGCTTCAGAGATCAGGTCTCACTTTTTCTGACAATACTGCATAGGAGGAACTGTGTGTTTCATATTACATGACATCAAGAGGCACATGTCTGCCTTGTCCCACTTTGAACAATGCCACACTTGCTTAGAGGGTTCAAATGTAACAGCATAAGTCCTGGATCCACTTTTCAACCAAGGCTGTCAGTCATTCATAATCACTCTTGACAATTATTTCATGACAGGCTGTAGGTGGTGATTTTCTAATTTTTTACTAGTCCAAACACATTTATTGGGCAGACTTCATCCCTCATCAACTAAGCCTATTTGTTTCTATGTACTTGTGTTTGTACAAGAAAAGCAAGATAATTTTTTCTTTAAACCTAATTTTCAGAGTAAGGAACTGATGCCTTCATTACATCCAATGGAGTTTACTTTCAACAAAATTTAAGAGGCAGCAGTATCTAAATATTTTTTATTTAAAAATATTTTATTCATTATTAATATTATTACTACTATTACTATTATTTTGGCCTTTTAGAGATAGGGTCTCCCTGTAGCCCCAGCTGGCCTGGAACTTGCTATGTAGACCAGGCTGGCTTGAATTCACAGAGATCCACCTGTCTCTGCCTCCAGTGTTGGGATTAAAGGTATGCATCACCATTCCCAGCTCATTTATTATTTTATCTATATGAGTGTATTGCCTGCATGTGTGTAAGTGCACCCATGTCATGCAATGCCCACAGAGGTCAGAAGAGGGCATCAGATTCCCTGGAATTGGAATTACGGAGAATTGCTAGCCACCATGTAGGTATGGGGAACCAAACCCAGGTCCTCTACAAGAGCAGCCAGTGCTCTTAACTGCTGAGCCATCTCTCCAGTCCCCAAAATATATTTGTATAAAAATATTTTAACAAGGGGCTGGAGAGATGGTTCAGTGATGAAGGGCACTGACTGCTCTTGTAGAGGACCTGGGTTTGGTTCCCAGCACCCACATGGTGGTTAACAACTGTCTGAAACTCCAGTTCTAGGGGGATTCTGACGCCCTCTTCTCACCTCCGTGAGCACTGCATGACACGGGTGCACTTACATGCATGCAGGCAATATACTCATACACATACAATAAAAATAATAAAAAATTAAATAAAATATTTTAACAAAATAAAGAAATTCTGCGAAACCTAACTAAAGCATAAAGGAAGTTAGAACTTCACTTTTGTCTAGTGACATCAAATGTCTAACAACCTGGGATAATCCTGGGACTTTATAGTGTCTGGTCAAATCTTTATTCTCATGACAAGTCAAGAGAAAGACCTGTCCAGAGCCCAGGAGTTACTGCAAAATAAACTACCCATCACCTAAGCATGACTTACAGGCAAATCTCAAATGTCTGACTTTTTGTTTTCTTTGCAGTGCTAAGGATGGAACCCAGGGTCCTGTATATATACTAGGCAAGCATTCTACTACAGAGCTACATTCCCAGCCCTCCTGACATTTTAAAACTACATTTCAGTGAAATGACATTTCAAAAATTGTCTGTGCATAACATCAATTCTTTTAAATACCCAAAGGTGGTTAAAAATTAACAGATACAAATGAAGCCAAGAGGATCTGAAAACATAAATCTGATAAAAATTCAGTGGTGCAATTAGTAAGCAAGTAAATGGACATTCAATTTTTTTTTCAAATGTTCACTTCTAAAAATCTTTTAAAAATCTATTTAAATGAAATGGGCTGGGCATGTTGGTGTAGGCCTGAAATGCCAGCACTTAAGAGGAAGGACCATGTTTTCCAGGCCAGCCTGGGACTCTGTCCGAAATATGTACATATATAAATAGGCAAGCATCTTCATGCAACTGTACAGACATATAGCAAACCTACTCTTGACACAACAGTCCCTGCTATTCAGCACCCAGTCATATCCCCATCCCCTCTTTCTATATAAGGGCACCTACCTCAAAAATAATTAATCTACAGCCATAAGAAACTATGTCCTGGTAATAACAGATAATCTCTACAAATAAGATCTTTTGGGAATTTGAATTAAATATAAAGAAGCTGTTAGACGGTTTACAGGATAGAAAGAAACACCATGGAATGTGGTTGAGCCATATTTACGGCCAGGAATCGGAGTGAATGTTCTGAACTGGGGCTACAAGCTCTCAAGGGAACATGAATGCAGTTCCTCCAAGTTCTGGTCTCCAGTCTGCCCTCGGACTGCTCCCAGTGTCCTTGTTCCTCTTGTCCACTCCATCCAGTCTTGCTCTCCCTTCTGACCCTTCCATGGCCCTCACCCCCAGGTGTTGATTCGAGACTACTCTACAATAAACATCCTGCCCACAGATCGCTGTTTTGGAATTTATTTTCTAGGAAACCTGGTTTATAATAGGAAAAACAAACCAGACAGTGAATTAACTTGTGCTTTCCTATTTCTTGTTTTTGATAATTGCTATCCACAGTCCGCCTCCTCGCTACAGAAAGGCCCTGATCCTTCCCAGGATCCTCAGCTTGCTACTCCACCCACCCCCTTTCCGCCTTCCATCCCTCTACCCCTGGGAAGAAGCGCCAGAGCTTGGACTCCCCGCAGACAGCAGGGGGCGCCCTAGCAGGAGTCCTGCAGCTGCTCCCCTGAAGTCTGATTCCTTCACGGTCTGGCTGAGGGTCCGGGAGAAGCAAAGAGCTTCTGGAGGGTGTGCAGGCTGGGGAAGACTTCGTAGAAGTAAGTTACCTAAGAAAACCCAGACCCAGAAAACTGGATCTCAAGCAAAGGAAAATTGAAGCATTTCCAGCATAGTAAGCTAGTTTATTTTTCTGGCCCACAGTTAATTTAAAAAAAGGGTATGTGGATAAAGGGAAAGAAGGCACACAAGAGAGGTGGGACTATAGCAGATAGGAATTATCAAGGGAGAAATGGGGAAAATGGGAATACTTTAAATGGGGAGGGTGGGGAGGGAGGGCTGGACAGAGAGAGAGAGAGAGAGAGAGAGAGAGAGAGAGAGAGAGAGAGAGATAGTGCCTAGCTAGTATTAAAAAAAAAAAGACGAGAGAGAGGTGCCTAGCTAGTATTAAAAAAAAAAAGAGGGAATCTCATTAGTCCAAAAACCTACTAAAAAATTACACATACAATATCTCTACGTGAGTCCATCTGTATAGCTGAAGGTTACGTAACAAGAAACAGTGCCAGACAGGAGACACCATCCTTTGAGTTGTTGGCTAGGGTAGTCCAAAAATTATACAGACTATTGCCACAGCCCTTGATGGCCTCCCAGAACTTGAAGGTAAGACCCTACTGCTGAAGACAGAACATACTTTAGACAAAGGATTTGGAGCAACAGAACTGCAACTGACCTCAAACCACTTCCCCTGAAGGCGAGCTCTCATAGCTTTGGAGAGCACTGTGGAGGTGCCAAGGGAAAACATCAGTTGATGGTCCAACCCCAGCTTCAAGACCAAATAACCATATCAGTGGCCAGCACAGCAAACAACACTGGTGCAGTAGTGGCACTTTTATCTTGGGGGTAATCAACACCTACCTAATTGGACTTAAAGCCCACTCAATGAGAGGAAACATGTGTGGTACTGTAAACAAAGCTGGAGGGGTCATAGATCTTAGAGAAAACCCCAAGGCTGGAGGGGTCATAGATCTTAGAGAAAACCCCAAGGCTGTTACATCCTTAGACAAATGTAATTTCTTACTATGTGCAAAATATGGATCATTAAATTTACAGACAAGTATCCCAGTCACCAAACACCAAAGAACCTTCTTTTTCAACAGACAGAGATTATTACAGAGTTCCACAACTGGTCATACACAGAGATTGTCTGTGAATTGCCGAAGCCTAAGTGGCACATCTATGATACAATGCTCACAGGACATAGAACAAGGGATAAAGAGAACACTGATACATCTTTCAATTCTCATCAATGAAGTGCCCTCATGCATCATAAGGCCAGGAACACAAAGGTCACAAATGGCCAAAGTGCAGAGAATAAGTGTCTACAAAGTACGGGTCCTTAGACAGGGCTCCTATATTAAAATCTACCCACTCAGGGCTCAGAGACCATTGCTGAAGAGGGGGTGAAAAGATTGTAAGAGCCAGAGAGAGGCATGACCCACAGGTTCATACGAACCTATAGCAATGGTGTCAGCATGCACAAGACCCATGCAAACTCAAGCAGACAAAAAAACTCAGCATAGAACTGTGGAAATGAACAACAGGCCCCAATCTTAGTTGAAGAATTATTGACGGCTGATTACTGCTGGGTGAGGAAGAGCTGATCTTCTTAAAGGGAGGGACTCTAGATAGGCTGACTAGACCTTAGTGGATGAACTTGCACTGAGGGATGTCTGGGAACACTAACTTGACATGATAGGCCTCAACACAAATGACAGAATGTATGAATTCCAGTGTGTGTTGGGGGGGGCCTATGGGCAGGTGCCAGTGGGGAAGGGAGTATAAAGTTAAGATATTCTGTGTGAAATACACAAAAATTCAATAAAATTTTTAAATAAAATAATTTAAAAATTAATAAAAGAAAGGTATGTTATCAGTAGCAAGTGGAAAAGAAGAAAGATCTATAAATGTTGTCAGATGCCAATTCAGTTAAAGAAAATAACAACAGGGCTTGAGGTTGGCTCAGAGCTTACGAGCACTGGCTGCTCTTGCAGAAGACCTGGGTTCAAAGCCTAGCACCCACATACTTTTAGCTATAAGCGGTGTTACTGCGTATTAATGATACGGTATACCTTCCGCAGGGTCTTGCCCATGCTCTTTTTCCAAAGAGAAAAGTCTGCAGTCAGGTGAGTAGTCTCCGAGCAAGCTCAGGCCTGCTAGGTTTCAAACTGGAATTGGGCTGAGTATGGGATCTACAGAGGGCTTAGATCCTAGGACAAGATGGGATGGGAGTTTGGGGAAATGATAAAATGGAGACCAGAGGTTGAACAGAACCAGTCCATCTTCACAGTTCCCCTTCTCTTCTTTCTCTAGTGTGTGGATGACCTGTAAACTTGGGCCGCATGGTGGGTGGCCAGCATGCTACTTTGGGGCATGGCAGGTCAACCTGCGCTTTGACCAGACCCACACCTGTGGAGGTTCCCTCACTGGCGACTACTATAGCAGCACACTGCATAGGAAAGTGAGTTCTAGCTGGGAGCTGGCACACAGACTGCTTCTCAGGAAATATTTGAATTGCTTCATGAAGGAACCAATGGGCCAGTGAAAGCACAAGATAAGAGGGGCAGGAGGAAAGCCTAGATCACCCTGGAGTGAATGCAACTAGGGAATGAGGCATGGAGGTAGAGAAAGTGATGGAGACAGGCACTTCTCTTCCTTTTTGTCAACTTCTTAAATGCTAGTCAGGGGGGTTTGTCTTGAGCTTTTTGGGTTCACACACAAAATCTGAGTGTTCTCAGAGCCATTTGCCACATGGTAAGTAGCCCTGGACCTCACGGAGACGCCAATTCAACATTAGTGAGTCTGGAAATAGACACTTTCCCAGCCCACCCTGAGAGCCCTTAAGACATCCTGAGTCAGAGGCACCCCAACTCCTGAGGCACACAATCCGAGATGCACAGAAGTCAAAATAACAGGACTTTTCATAAATACCAATGAAAGCTCAGGAAAACAGTGTAATGGCTTCAAAATGCTAAGGGAAACTTTCTAACCTGGAATTCTACCTAAATACAAACTATGAATTCATGTGGGGTATAGATATAGGCATTTACAAATACACAAGGCAGCAAAATGTTACCTCTCATGCATATTTCCCCAGGAAACCATTGGTGACATGCTTTACCAGGCAAAATGGTAGGTCCAGGCAAAATGGTGGGTTATAACACAAACAAGACTTCCCACTTCCCAAACAAATCATAAATACAAAGTACCAAGATAATAGCTGTGCAGGAGATAGACTAGAACAAGAGGGCAGAAGGAAAAAGAAGCAAAGAAGACAGGCGTAAGAGTCCCTGACAGGCTTGGACATACTGAGAAGTTTATATTTCTGGCAGAGAGCTTGGGGAAAAGAATGATGAATTAGTGATGGGCACATGGAAGATGAAGAAAAGAGGATGAGACCTTAACTCTGGGAAAAGCAAAAGATTTTATGAGCAATGCAATCATCAGATCCAACAGGGCCTGTAGTGCAAGAAGTTTACATAGCCATGGGAAAACACGTAAGATTCTGATCTAACAGAAAGCTATGACAATATGAAAAATGAAGTAGGGATAGAGGCTAGACAGTGAGATGTGTAAGATGCTCAGTGCTCACCTTCTGTACCAGGAATTCAAGATCTAAACATTAGAAAAGAAAATTTCAGGAAATAGCAATATATAGGGTTTCTTAAAAGCACCAGGGAAATTATTAAGGGATGAAAGAGCTAGAAGAAAATTCCTGTCAATACTGTGACCCGAGAGCAGGACTGCTGAGAATTTGTGATCTGTTTTATACACCTTACCACACTACCTAGCAGTTCAAAGTTTATTATGAAATCATGGAGAATGAGAGAGGTCTGTGAGAGAACCAGGGAGACGATGTAGGATCAAACTCTGGTCACTAACATATAAGAGGAGACCACAGGAAGAGGGGGGAGGGGAGGGAAGGGCACAGTGGAGACGAAAAGGACACAAACCAGTCCTGGATCAAGATGAATGAGTCCTGGTTGTTCCCCAGTCGGCTACCTTCCATTCCAGAGTTTGTTTTGATCTTGCTGTAGGCCATATGCACACTCTACCCTTACTCTGTTCTATCTCTTCATTTCAGGTTCTCATATGTGTTTTTATACAGTGTAGGGCTTGGATCTGTTTATGTTGACTTCTTAAGTAAAGGCGAGGAATACTGCGTGTCCAGAATCATCATCCATCCCAAATACTACAATGGAAGCACAGACACCACCTTGCTGAGACTGTCCTCCCGGGTTACCTTTACTCCATCCAGCCCGTCTGCTTGCCCAATATCTCAAAGTGGTTGACAGTTCCAGCCTCTTGTTGGGTGACTGGATGGGGACAAATTAAAAACAGTACAAGAGAAATAGGCAGGTTGGTTGATTGACTAATTGAGACAGATGGGGTCTCACGTATTCAGGCTGGTCTCAGACTTGTTCTGTATTGGAAGTTGGCCTTGATTCGTAGTCCTGTCTCAGCCTCCCAAGCGCTGAGATTATAAGTGAATGCCACCACACCTGGCTTTAGCAAATAGTTTTCAACAAGATCAGATCAACCTAATGATATTACCTACAAATCTTCATATAAAATGTTTTTGAGATTTAAATGTTTATTTACTCCTCTCTATCTTGCTTAGAGTCTGGCTATAGCTGGCAGAGCAGATACTAACAGTTTAAACACAAAATTTTCTCTCTGAAAGACATTATTAAGCCTGATTTAAAGTCCTGAGAGACTCTAGTTTGTTCATTTAATTTATTTGTAAAATGTTGTGTCAAATCTTTCCCAGAATGAAGTAGAACTATGTCAGGAATTTATCAGGGAGGATGAGAACGAGAAAGGAAATATTTTAGAGTAATTTAAAATATGTACCTTGTTACTTCATCAGAAGGTATCTGAATTATTCTTTATTTAAAACTCTGGCACAATTTAAAATTATCTTTTTTTTTTTTTTTAAAGATTTAGTGATCCTAGAAGGTCCTTCCATAAGCAAATATGATTGGAAATTTCACCTCCTGACTGAGTGTTGGCCCAGTCACTTTTCAGGTTGTTACAATCTTCCATTCCTGTCTTCTGCAGATAATTACCCTTCTACCCTCCAAGAAGTTGAAGTGCCCATCATTAACAATCAGGCTTGTGAAGAGCTCTTCCACCCAATTGGCATCTTCTTGTCAGCACCGGAGCAGGTCATTAAGGACGACATGCTCTGTGGTGGTGATATCCAAACAAGTAAGGACAGCTGCAAGGTTAGTGACTGTTTCTGAGACACGCAGACAGACCTTCTTTCCTTCCTTCCTTCCTTCCTTCCTTCCTTCCTTCCTTCCTTCC